AGTACCTCAATAAATACTAATTTTTCTCATAATATTAATTCTCTCATTCCATTCTAAATGTTTTTGGAAGCATTATTTCCTTAAAAATAAACCAGTGTTGACAGAAAATAGAGAAGCTGGAAGCTTCATGTGTTGATGATGGGATTATAAAATGGTAGGGCCACTTTGAAAAATGTTGATTTCTCAGAGTTAAACATAGTTCACTGGTGATGACGCATTTCTATTCCTGATAATACCCCTAAGGGAATTAAAAGTGTGTACTCATATAAAAGTTTTTCCACATTCTTAGTAACAAAGTTCAGAATAGCCAAAAATGTATTTATTTATTTGTCAATGAAAAAGGGAAGGAAGTTTTGATACAGGCTTCAGCATGGATTAATTTTGAAAACATGCTGAAGGAGAAACAGTCAGACTGCCAAGGCCACATATCTCATGATTGAATTTGTATAAAATGTAAAAAATAGGAGAATCCTTGGATGATGACCTAGAATGGAGAAGGGTGAATAGGGATATTGGCTGTTGTTTTGAGGTGATAGAAATTATCGGGTTAATAACATTCCTTAGCTGTTATGATCAAGTCTGCAATCTCTCAAGTATGTGGTGAAGGCTAAACAGAAAGCAAATGAAATATTTCAGGGCTCTAGGAAGATCACAGAATTCCACATTCTCTCTGGACCAAAATCAAAACCTTTGCTGGTTTGGCCTGTTTTTTTATTTAATTATCAGAAGAAATGAGTTGAATACTCAAGAAGCGTAGGGCCCCCACTCAAGGACTTTTCCAAGAAAGGTATTAAGTTAATCCACCCAGAAGTGAGATGAGGGTACAATCTTTATCTAGTTGAGGTTTCATCCAGGTGTCCTTGGCTGTGGCCCTGTCTTACCCTTTGAGGCATCACAGCTTTACCACCATTTCAGGCCTCAGTCAGAGGTGACTCACAGAGGTTCGCTTACTATGAGTCTGTTGCCCATCTCCAAAAAACAAGCAGCCTACGCCTTAGACAGACTCACAAGTAGACATGAAAAGCCAATTAATTTAAGTCTGCTCAGGGCTGCCTTGTGGTGGTCTCCATCAGAAAATTTCTGGAAATCAATGGTAATGATGATTGCAAAACATTATAAATACTTTAAGCCACTGAATTACATACTCTAAAACTATTATTGTGGTGAATTTTGCATTATGTGGATTTTATCTCAGAAAAAGAAATTAGTGATGCCAAAACCAAGATCTTATTAGAAAGGGAAGCTATAGACTAGTGTCTGTCAAAAGTGGACACAAAATCCTCAAAAAAATGCTAGCAAACCAAACCCAACAGTGTATAGATAGAATTATACAGCCTGACCAAATGAGACTTATTCCAGCTGCATAACATGTATAAACATTCAAAATTAACAGGCTCTGTCAGTCAGTTCTTGCTGGAGACACATTTAATGCAAGATATACAAATATATAAGAATTCCAAGGGCTGCCCACAGAGTCAGGTGTGGAAGACCAGCAGGTGTCTGTCTGCATAGGACATCCAAGGCCTGGAGCCCACTGTAGTGTCCCATGCGAGTCCCCCTGGGAGCCCAAGGCTCTGCAATGGAAGGCTGGAGTCTGCGCGGGAAGCCAGGAAGGATATCCAAGGTGCAGGTGAAGACTGGAGCTCTTCCCTGCATCCTGCGTCTCTCTTTTTTTTTTTTTTTTTTTTTTTTTTTTTTTTTCATTTCTGTTTTGTACTACTCTGAAGACAATCCTCCCCAGGGTGGGTCTTCCACACCCAGAACTATGCTGAGCCAAGGTAGTTGAGCATTTTTTACTCAAGGTGACACAATCAGTTAACTATTACAGAAGCTAAGAAAGAAGATTCATATATCAATGTAGAAAAAAGCATTTGATAAAATCCAATTTATAATAAAAGCCCAGCAAACTAAGAACGGAAAGAAACTTCTTGTTTGATTAAAAATGAGATCTACAAAGTACTGTATTTGAGTCAAGTGTGATGGTGCACACCTATAATAGCATTCAGAAGGCTGAGGCAGGACTGTCACCAGCCTGGGCTACATAGTGTGCTCAAGGCCAGCCTGAATCACAAAGCAAGACCCTGTCTTAAAAACAAACAAACAAACAAAAAAAAACAAAAAACAAAAAACTATATCGAACATCATACTTCATGGTGAGGGAAAAAAAGGTTCTCACCTAAGATCAGAACCAAGGAAGGCAGTGACTTCCCTCTCCTCACTTACATTCAGGAAGCCAGATATCAAACCCATGTTAAATGAATTTCTGAAGCTTAGTGATAAACATTATTTTTGAAGGTTTTTTTTTAGAGTAAAAGAATTCTGTCACTTTGGAAAGAGTTGTGCATTTTTCAGTATATTTGGGACTGTTCCCCCACGTGCGACAGTCACGGACAGCCTGGCAATGAGAAGGAGACTTCACAACAGAGGGCCTAGAGCTGTGATTCTGTGCTCGACACTCCTCCCTCTGACAGTCCAACTAGCCCCTTAGCATCTCCAGCCTCTCCTCCTCTGCCATATGAATGCCACTCTGAGGGCTAAACCTTCTTATCTTCTAGGGCTGCTGTCATCCCTGGGACTTAGAAAGTGACAGACTGAAGGCCAGAAGCCCCTTTAGGAAAGAATGAGATGCTAGGAACCACTTTCTATTTGAAATAGACTCAGGTGCCCTTGGACCGTTTAGAGGGTTCACTTCTGTTATGTGGCTGATGGCACTTGAACATGTATGACACACACATGAAAAGATGTTTGTCCAAAATGTCACATCTTTTAAACCCTACATTTTGATCATGATGAAAGCCAGCACCTTCAAAGGCATATTGTGGAGGAGTCATAATATTGTGTCCTTACCCCTTATATTCTCCATGCTTCAAATGTTAGATTTCAAATTGTGAGACATTTATTGAAATGTCTTATCCTATCAGTATTTGCTATGGTTCAGGCAATTCTTTGTGGCAGCTTGTATAAAAAGCCAGCTGGCTAGGGGCCGACCAGATAGCTCAACAGACTATTAAGTGCCTGCTTAGGCAAACACAGGGACCAGGATTCAATCCCTGGCATGCCATGCTGGCCCCACCCCCAGGGCCGCTGAGACAGTCACTGAGACTGGGCGTAGTGGCTCGCACCTGTAATCCCAGCACTTGGGAGGCTGAACACAGGCGGATCACCATGTGTCCAATCTGTATAGTGAGACCCTGTAGACCCTGTACTAAATACATTTTTAAAAAACAAAAAAACAGCTGGCTAAAGTCAGATTTGGTATAAAATCAGAAATCATCCACATTGCAGGGTCGTTCCAGTTGAGAGAGGGGTGCATTTGAGTGCCTGGGACTTGTTAGACACTCAGAAATTGCCAGTCAGTGCTGTTGTCAGTGTAACTGCGTTTAGCCCTCTATAATACCAGTGATACTGAACCTCCTGGAGTTGCCAGTGATAGTAAACAGCCGGCGGCGGTACGCGTGCCATTGGTTTACCACCACCACTCTATGCTAATTGTGCTTGGTGACCAAAATGGGTCCCCTGTGTCCTCACTGCCATCGTACCATACTCGTGAGTGTTCCTCTGCCCTACCTGACTGCTCCCCGAGTGGAAGGTGTCCGCCTGTTTTCATTCCAGTCAGCTGCGTTCAGTGACCACAGACCATATCCTCACTGCCTAGAATTATCTAAGAAGAAAAAAGCAAATATCCTCCTACGTGGTTTCCTTTGATAGAAACATGGAGGGCCCATAGCCAAGTTACTTCCCTTCACTCTGCCTTGCCTTGCCCACATGAAAATAGCAGGATAAGCGAGAGGGCATAGTCTTCTGGAACTCTTGAAATTGTGTGATGCAAGAACTCTTGTATATGAACAACTCTAGGAAATATGATTTTATTATGTAAATAATGACAAGGTATTATATGCTGTATACTTTGATATAAGGAATATTTTATTCTCTTTATCACTGTGTTCTAAGTGTTTGATTCTATTTATTTATTTATTTATTTGATACAATGTCTTGCTGCACAGTTCCAACTCACAGTGATCCACCTGTCTCAGCCTCTGTAGTGCTGGGATTACAGGTGTGCACCACCACACCTGGTTCCGGTGGCCAGCACGGCACACCCAGGGTTCCAAGACTGGCACAGCATGTGGTACTGGGGATCAAACTAGGAACCTTATGCTTGCCAAGCAGGGGCTTATGCCACTGAACTATCTGCCCAGCCCTAAGTATTTCATTTCTGACAACTGTCCCTCTAGAATTTTGTTAGGAGTTTATAAAATAGACGTCACCAAAAGAATAATATGCTGTTAGGGCTGGCCAAATAGCTCAGCAGATTAAAGTGCCTGCAAACAGGCTCACGGGTTTGATCCCACCCTGCTGTGCTGGCCCCACCCCTGGGGTGCGCTTAGATGGCAATTGAGACTGGGCGTGGTGGTGCGCACCTGTAATCCCAGCTCTTGGGAGGCTACAAACAGGCGGATCACTGCGAGTCTGATATAGTAGTGAGACCCTGAACACCCTGTAGACCCTTCCCTAAAATACAAAAAAAAAAAAAAAAAAAAAAGGAAGAAAGAAAGAAAGAAAGAAAAGAATAATATGCTCTTTACTTTTTTAGAAATATGTAAAAAACTGACCATAGAGACACTATATTGCTAATGTCATTCCCGATGTGTTTTGGGCCCCACTCAGTCTGGTACTCTCTAGTGCCCTCGAATGTTGAGGGAGGTGGCCCCAGCCCTGAGTAGGTGTTCTCTCAGGCAGTAGTTCTTGGAGTGGCATAAGGGGGAAGCACTGGGAAGAGATAGTTCATTACCAGAAAAAAGAAAGAGAACCATACTAGAAACTCAGGTACAGCAGTCTGCGTGGGCAAGACCTGCCACAATGAGAGCCAGTGTTCTTTTCCTGCCTCTAGCAGCCCACACTGTCATCCTTCCTGGGACAGAAGTCTGTCTAGGCCATACTTTCCAGCTGCTCGGAGGGTGCTCACTTCATGGATTGTCTTTTTGTCTCTTGGTTTTCAGCTCATCAGAGCAGAGTGACGATGATCCTGTTCATCCTGGAGCTGGAGTGGGTCCTGAGCACAGGACAGGACAAGCAGTTTGCCTGGCACTGCTCTGAGAGTGGGCAGCGTCTGGGAGGGTATCGCACCAGCGCCGTGGCCTCCGGCCTGCAGTATCCTTTGCTGGAGGAGTCAGTGGTGGAAACTTAGCTGATGACTTACTAATTCATGAGAATTTGGGGTATGTGCAACTTGAAATGTTTTTTATTATGTATGCTGACTTTCCCTGTGTGGTTAAGATGTTCAGAGAGTATTCTACTGCACAGGTCATCAAGGGTTTCTATGTAAACTGAGTAGAGCGAAATAACTGCACCTTCAATGATAGACCCTGCTGAGAAGCTTGTGGGTCTCCTGATCGTTAGAGAGAACATAGTCCGGGTTTGTGAGCCTCAGCTGTCAGAAAAGCCCTTGATTTGTAGTTTACAAATAAATAGTAAGGTTAAAACATTCCACTGGTACCTGGGGAAAGGACCAACAGATTACTGTTTACTTTTGAAAAAATTCTTGAGAAGTTACCATGCTAGGACCAGAGTGGATCAGCTGCTAACTGCCTGGTGATGTTCAGGCCTCGCATCAAGGGTCCCCAGCTGGTGAGTACCTGCTTTGTGGTTTGAGGATGAACATCATCTCACTTCCCTGTGCTCTGTGGGGTGTCCATTGTGACTCCAGCTTCATGACCTAATCATCTCCAGCAGCCCTTACCTCATAACACATCACTTTGGGAATTAGGTTTCAACATAATCCATCTTCCTTACCCCCACACACACAAGTGGTTGCTATAGGTGGTGATGGGTATGTTAGTTAATTTAATTGTGTTAATCACTCCACAGTCTATACAGATATTAAATCATCATGTCGTATATACACTCTTTGATTATATACAGTCTTTGTTAACTAATTTTTTTTTTCAAAAATAGTCTGTAACACCCTCATTTTTCAGTTGAGACAACTGAAGTCCAAAAATAGTACCTAATCTTCTTGGAGGTCACCTACCTAGGCAGCAAAATCCTCACCAGAAGCCAAGCTAGGGAGTAAGATTATAGCCGTCAGCTCCAAAAGTCTTCCTCGTTTTGTGACTATTTCTTTTGTCTATGCTATATTATTTTTCAAGTAGAAAGTTTTATTATTGCTATCAGAAGTATATGTGTGTGTGCCTCTAGACTTTTGTTCTCAGGCTAAATGATCACACCTCCCCCTTGCTGGGGAGATAGAGGAAACTGCACCCACCCTATAAAGCTGCCACTGCAGTTCCTGACCCCATCAGCTCTGACTTGCTCGCTCCAGTTTTGGCACCGCCATGCCAATCCTTGTTCCAGTGCTTACCCCTGGAAGCATGTCTCTGGATGGCATGTGCATCTCTTTGCTTTCAACAGAAGGTTTCAGCCAAAAACCCACGGGGCTTTTCCAAGGCGCTTTTCTGGGTGTTTCTTGATGGGTTGTTAGTAGACAAGCCAGTGCAGTATTATGGTTCCTCTGTAGAGCTAGCTTTTAATCATGTTCATCTGCTGGAGCCTCCACACACATACACCTCTACTCTTACTGGCCCCTGTACTCTTCCAGAGTTTTTTAACTGATGAAAGGAGGAAAAAGGTTTGATGGAGCAGTGGAAAATGTTCAGAATTATATCATTACCTCTGTTTACCTTCAAGGTGAACAGCAGTGTCAGAGTCCTCTACAGTAACCTAACTCTATTCCATCTCCATGTCATTCATCTAAGGGACAGAATAAATCAGATTGAAATCCGCCTTTTTCTCTTCTTCTAGGTTTCTTAGTAGAGAAATAAATATGAGTCAAAGTAACTGAGATTCAAGCAGAGATACAAAGAAAGATCACCCAGTTCACAATTAAAAAAGATATATTTCTGAATACCCTCAAATTATTTTGTTATCTGACTACAGAGTCCAAGCTAAGTGTTACATGACCCCTAACAATAATAAAAGGAGAGGAAAAGGGGAAAAAATGTCTCATATCTGAAGTCCCTCAATTCACAAAATGCTTTTACACACATCACCTTATTCACTATCAAAACAGGAAGATGTAGTAAAATGAAATCGCCTACTTTTCTATTTCATTATATAGTAACTGAGGCCCAGAGAGACTTAGCAAGGTTGAACGACTGGCTTGGAGCCACAAGGCACACCTGGCAGAAGTGGGATGAGAACTTCAGTACTATAATTCATAATCTTTCACCCAGTGCTCTGCACAACTAGATGGATGAAATAGATGGGTGGTTTTTCCCAAAGGTCCCATGACTGGTAGGTAATAGGAAACAGAAGTAAATGTTTTCAGTCCTTACTTCACTTGCTGTACTTTACAAAAGCAAATTCCTTATCTAGTCTCACTAGATAATGCCTTTTTAGTTATCCATGTTTTGATCCTATTTTTTTTGTTTCCACCAAAATAATACAAATACTCTTTAATTTTAGGATTTTTCTTCAAAATGAGTTATTGCCACAGTGTCATCATCGTGTATTGTGAGATGTCTTTCCACCAATGTAGTCACTTAGATTTATTTCTAGTCAGGTAAAGAGTTCTGCAAGGCTATTGAGATTATCTCAGTTTCTTCATATCATATTTAATGTCAGTCACTCAGGCCTTGGGGTTTTACTGTCATTTTATTTCAGCCCTCTTTTGAGTAGATTTTCTGGAATTTGTATTGTTAGAAGACACCATAATTTACTTGCACTTATTTTCTTTTTTCCACTTATGTATTTGGTACAAGGTCTCACTATGCAGCTCGGACTCATGGTGGTCCTCCTGTTTTCAGCCTCCCTAGGGCTGAGATTACAGGTGTGTGCCACCACACCCAGACTCAGTCGCTGGCTCAGTGTGCCCCAGAGGCGGAGCCAGTGCGGCATGCGGGACCTGGACGGAACTCTGGTCCCTGTACTTGCCAAAGCAGGCACTTAGTTGGCTGAGCTATCTTGCCAGCCCTCTTTGCAGTTTTTGAAAGACTGTTGAGTCCCAGATTGAATCTAGTTTTTTTATCTTTGTTCTTATAATCAATCAAGATAAGCTTAAGGTGATGTTTTTCTTATAAATTTTGTTATTAAACTACATATGTCTAATAACTTATTAGAAGAATAGTGTTATATTTTATTCTATAATTGTTTTAATATTTTATTATGAAAAATTTCAAAAAATGCATCAAATTAAGAAAGTACTATGATAGATGCTCATATACCCATGACCCACATCTATTGTTTCTTGTTAGAGTATTTTAAAGCAAAGTCCACAACTTAAGGCTGTCCTCCTTATATACCTCATTGCGCACCTCTAAAATATATAAATCATTTTTCAGTAACGATGCTATTATTACACCTGGAAATTAATAGTCACTGAGTATTGTTGAATACGCAATCTATTTTCAGATTTTGCTGTTGTTTTGCAAATGACTTCTTGCAGTGGATTTGTTTGAAACTGGTTGTAGAGGAGATCCATTCTACATATAGTTATACTTTGTTGCGCTTTACCTATTTATTCATTCCTGGATGGGTAGCCATTTTTGTTTCATCTTCAGTGCTTGTTTTTCTAAATATTAGTGCATAAACACACAAATACACACACAGAGAAACACACATAGTTCTGTTTCCCTCCCTTTATTACACAAAGGTAACACAGCCTATAAATTCTGAAGATTATTGGCTTCCCCATTACACACACTTAATCTGTCTTGGAAACAACTCCATGTTGATGTATGAAAATCTTCTTTTTGAGGTGCATATTATTCTATTGTGTTGGTGTAGCATGGTCAACTCAATAAGTCCCCTACTGATGGACTTGTGGTCTGTTTTCAACCTTAAGCTATTAAAGCAATGGAAAGTGAATAGCCCTGACCTGTGTTATCTCACAGTCTTCTGGTATTTCTCTGGAATCACTCTCTAGAAATAGGATTAGTAGATGTTATCAAACTAAAAATGCCCATTATAGATTCAGTACCTAGAGTTGTAATGGGAGCTGGTCATGTAGACAGCTTCCACTGGCATATACAAAATCCTAGACTCCCCAGAGGAAAGCAGGTATTCAGCGTAAGCCTTACTGTTTGTATACATAAAGCAAAGTAGGCATTTGCCATCAATGATGGGAACCCTCCAAAAATTCAGGTTCGTAGACACTAGGCCAGCTTTTTTTTTTGAGGGGGGTACTGGAAATCAAACTCGGGACCTTGTACTTGTGAGGCAGGTGCTTATGCCACTGAGCTATCTCCCTGGCCTACTAGGTCAGTTTTGTTAGCATCCTTGCCAAGGAGAGCAGTCAAGCTAGGGATGTTAAATTTGCCTATTTGCCTGCCTTCCTGCCTGCCTGCCTGTCCATCTTTCTTTCTGTCTGTCTGTCCATCTTTCTGCACAGCACCATTTTCATTTCTTCTTAAACTGTCCTTTTATAGTTGCAAATATGGCCTTTTTTCCACTAGATTAATGATAGCTGCAAAAAAAAATTATTTTCCATTTTGGATTTTGGCTTTGCATATAGTATTTGTTGTTTGTGGTTTTACTATAGCTTTTCCATTCCAAATTTGTTTTTTAAAAACCCTACTTCTCCAAAACTTACTCTTTTGGGCAGCCTGGTGAGATAGCTCAGCATCTAAAGTACCTGCTTAGGCAAGTTAGGCAGACTCAGGGGATCCAGTTCAATCCCCAGCACCACATGCTGCTCCAGCGGTGCCCTTGGAGCAGGCTGAGCTGGCCAATAAACAAACGAACTGTAAAACTTATGTGTTCTTCTTCTGCTGCTCATCGCCCTTCTCTCATTGTTGCTATTGTTCTGAGGATCAGACCCAGAGGTGCATGTGTTATTCAAGTGCTGTAATACTGAACTACCTGCATTTTCATTTCCTAGATGTGAATCTTTATATTATTTGGAATTTACCCAGGTGCAAAATATGAAATACACATCTCATTTTTTCCCAAGTAGCTGTCTAGTTTTTTTGTTTTGTTTTGTTTTTTGTTTTTTTGTTTTTTTGGTTTTTTTTTTTCAGAACCAGGGATTGAACTCTCAGGCCCTTGCTCTTGCCAGGGAAGCGCTTATTCCACTGAGCCATCTCCCCGGCCCCTAGCTGTCTAGTTTGTGCCAAATCACTTTTCGTTTCTATTCTTTTTTTTAAATGTTTTTGTTCCAGGTTCTCACTACACAGCTCAGACTTGTCATTATCCTCCTGTTTCAGCCTCCCCAGTGCTGGGATTATAGGCACGCACCACCATACCCGGTTTCAGTGGCCGGCATGGCATGCCCAGACTGCCATATGTGATACCAGAGATCAAACCTGAGTCCTTCAGCTTGTCAGGCAGGCACTTAGACCACTGAGCTATCTCCCCTGCCCACCAACATCACTTTTTAAACCCATCTTTCTTATTCATTTGAAGAGCTACTTTTGCAGACATGTGCTAGATTTCTCTGTGTTTTGCAGACTATTTCTGGATTTTATATTCTTTTCTTTTAGTCTATGTACTTATATCAGTACCATACTTTTACATAGAGAAGCTTTTTAACGTGTTTTATCATCTGATATAGTAACTTCCCTTACCATATGCCATGTTATTCTTTCAAATTATCCTTGGCCCTTGTTTATTCATTTTTCAATTTGATCTTTGCAGTGCACACACCAGACTTAAAAACACTGTCAGTACTTTATTGGGGTAATATTAAGTTGATAAATTAATGTACTAAGAAGAGATATCTTTGTCATATTGAGACTTAGTATCCAATAATGTGGTACGGCCTTCATTTTCATAAGTCTACCTTTGTATCTTTTAGCACTTATTTCAAGGTCTCTCGTGTGGGATTTGCACATTTGTTATGTGCATGCCGTCGTCTTTGCCATTGTAAATCCTCCTCTTCAGTTTTAAGAAACAAGCCTTAATGCTTACATGACAGATTTGATATTGAAACCCGGCATGTGTTTATTGGTGACCACTCAGGCCAAGTGACAATCCTCAAGCTGGAGCAGGAAAGCTGCACACTGGTCACAACGTTCAAAGGACACACAGGTAGGATCAAGCCAGTCATCAAGTGCCTGCGTCGTGGTGCCCTTTTGCCACTCTCTGTGTATTCTGATGTTCAGATGACATGTTCTAAAGTAACAAAGTAAAGCTTGTGCTTGTGCAGAGATACATTTGATGTACTTCACTGACTTGAGTGGTTCAGTAAGAAATGATGTCAACAATTTTTCTCTAAGCTGGGCATGGTGGCACATGCCTGTAATCCCAGTACTGACAAAGGCTGAGGCAAGAGGAGTGCAAGTTCTAATCTCATGTGGGCAATTTAGTGAGACCCTGTCTCAAAATTTAAAAGAAAAAGGGGGGCAGGAGGGCAGGGATGGTTGGGAGCCACTGAAGCTGAAATTGATCCTGTGTGGGAGGATGGGATGAGGCCTCGTTACCTTTGCAGTCCAGCTACCTCAGTCCTGAGATAGCATCCTGATTGGTTAACATCAGCTACTAGTCATTAGGCAACTTGTGTCATGTGTTACTAACTTAACAAAGGTATAAATAAATGTCCATATTGTTGTTAGGTGGTCATCTCGCCAACCAGGCATACGAGTCACCGTCTAACCCAGCTCTTGTCTTCTTGTCTATCTTTTTCTCATTCCTGCCACTGTTTCTCCCCAGGTAGAATGGCTCACCCTGAGCCCCACAGATCTTGATAAGGGATATAACCCAATCGTAGAGTGTCCCTGGACTCATTCCCCAGTACTGGAAAAACAAAAAACAAAGAATTCCATAATCCAGACAAAAGAGGAACCAATCTATTTTGAAAATATTGATGATTTAGTTTCTTTTAGATTACACTTGAGAAAGCCAGTGCAGGCATATATTAATGGGACATTGTTCGAGACTGTGGTAACTGTTCAAACTCCAAAAGGCCCTGGATCTGCCGTCACTGTTGGAGTGAAAAGATCTTGTGCGAGAATGATTCTCACATCTGAAACAGATGAAAATATACATGTCATGGGTGGCCATACTCCGTGAAGAAGGAAAAGTTCACATTTCTTTCCATTTAAGCCCTTTGCAGCTTTTAATCCAAAATCTGCTTTGTATTATGGATCTGTTTAGAATCATTGAAGCAAAGTGATATAAAATAATCATTCTTAGCTTTTGAAAGACTTGGGTACACGATGATGATGAGCCAGTACTTTGCATGTGGCATTGGCTAAGGAAAATGTTATCCGAGGATACTAACCATCACCTGTTTTCATGGTCCTTCATGGGCTTTTCTGTTTCCTGCAGACTACCAATCCACTATGTAGTGTAGAACAGGGATAATACTTGGATTGAATGTCATGTAAGAACAGAAGTAGGGGGAGCAGGATGTCTAATTGGATAGTACCAATGCAAAAAAAAAATCACCTTAATCATCGATGCCTTTAGGAAGAAGAATCCATAGAAACCGCATCGGTGAGTAAGAACCCAATCATTCTCATTTCATATTTGTTTTTAGGTAGCTATACCCAAGCCAAACCAGAGCCTCAAAAGGACCACAATTGTCTCACCTAAGAAATCTTTAAAATTCTGTTTCACGCCTGACATTAGTTTCATTTTTTAGTTCCCAGAATGCTTTGCTTCACCCTGCCTGCTCTTCTCCTTGCTGTATTCCAGTCTTCTGTCCTTCCATTTCCCAGAATTCCAGTTGTTTCCGCCCTAGTAGTATTCCCTTCCTTCACAGAGCACACTATGTGAGCATCTCTGTGATCAAGAGTCTTAGTAAAGCTTGGAGTCTGTGATGCAGGCTGACTATCCATCCACCTTCTCTCCATGTGTATCGGCTGCTGTGTCTCTCACATTGTGCTTCCGTTAGACTATAGCACTCATCATTTCTGATTGGGATTTCCCAGCTGTACTCAGAGTTGTCTGATAATCCTCCACCTGTACACTGCTTTTGCCAGTCTCCAGCTGCTGCCTCCAAAGCTATCAGCTTTATTTTTAAAAATGTTTTTTATTTCTTGCCCAGCATGGTGGGATACATCTGTAATTGTAGCTACTCGGGAAGCTGAGGCAAAAAACTTCAGCCAGCCTAGGTAACTTAACACAATCCTGGGCCAGGGAGATGGCTCAGTGGAATATGCGCTTCCCTGTCAAGCGCAAGGGCCTGAGTTCAATCCCCGGTTCCGAAGGAAAACAAAACAAAACAAAACAAAACACAATCCTGTCTCAAAATAAAAAATAAAAAGGACAAAGAAAGCTGGGCGTAGTGGCACCCACCTGTAACCCTAGCACTTAGGTGGCTGAGGCAGGTCGCCATGAGTTCCAGGCCAGCCTGAACTACAATAGTGAGACCCTGTCTAAAGGAGGGTGGGGTGTGGGGGAAGAATACAGGTCAGTGGCAGCATGCCCCTTTTTTAATCCCCAATATCATTTAAAAATATTCTTGCCCATTCTATATTCCTCATCCAGAATATCTTTTCCTCTGTCCCCACCACATCCCAGTGCAAGGGAACCCACCTTCTTCTGATCCCAGCTAATTCTCCTCAGAATAGATTCCGTTTGTCTCCTTTTTGGCTAGCTTATTTTTCTCAATTTATTCACATGCTTAAATTTCTTACCTTCTTGTGGAGAAAACAAACAAAAATTGTCTGAATCCCGCTCTCTTACCAGTGCTGCCTTTCTAAACAATATGTAAAATGTACAAAACATGAAATTTGCCATTTAAAAGCCCTGCTGTATGGCATTTATGTATTCACGTATTGTGAGTCAATGCGTGTTGTAGAGCTGCTGTCACTGTCTGGTCAGGGCACATCTTTCAGCTTGCAAAGCTGCAGCTCTGCCCTCGGACAGGACCCCACCCTGTCTGAGGCCCACAGCAGCCGCCCTTCTGCCTCTGAATCTGTCTGCTCTGGGTCCCTCCCGAGTGGAATCACATGGTGCTTAGCCCCTCTTAACTGGCTCATTCACTCTGCAGTCATTTCCGAAGAGTGAGATTTTCCCACCTTCTTCTGTCTTCACCTTTCACTTGCCTTCCAGGACCCTGCAGTCTTGGTTGTCTCTTGCTCCACTTGAACTGCTCTCCCCAAGGGGACCAGTGACCTGCTGGGACACATCTTAAACTTTGTCACACTCAGCCTCTCAGGAGCATTTGACGTTGTGACCGCTCTTTCTGTCACTGCCTTCCTTTTGCTGCTGTGAAGTGCCTCTCCCAGTTTGCATCCCGTGCCTCGTGTGCAGGTTCTCGGAACAGCTGAGTGCCCTCTGCGTCCTCTCCTTCTTGCACTCTGTGTCCTCACTGTTGATCTCAGCTACTACTCCTGTCACAAAAATAAGAGGCAGTCACCACTCGCACATTCCCACAACCTGGTGAGACACGCGCTAAGCTATCGCTGTGATATGTGGCCAAGGCAGGGGAAGCAAGCGCTGCGCTCTTCAGGGAACCTAGGACGTGAACTTACATGGAAGGAGACAGGAAGCAGGAAGGCATTCCCGTGGGAGATGCTCTTTGACCTGCAAAAAAGTGGGAAGTGGGGGCTGGGGAGATGGTTCAGGATAAGTGCTTCCCTGGCAAGCACAAGGGCCTGAGCTCAATCCCGGGTTACACCACAAAAAAAAAAAAAAAAAATGTGAGCTAAATAAACCTTTCCTTCCCTAATTCTGTATGTCAGGTATTTTGTCCCAGCAACGAAAAAAAAAAAAAAAAAAAAAAAAAGTGAGAAGAGCAGGCCAGGTGGAGGAAACTAGCCGGATTTTAGTCACATGGAAACATGCAAGACCATAGCAGTCCTGGGCGCTGCTCTCTGTCTCACAGCAGTGTCTGTCTCCTCTCCTCTCCTCTCCTATATCCTGTCCTATCCTATATCCTGTCCTTTCCTCTCCCCTCCTCTCCCCTCCCCTCCCCTCTCCTCTCCTCTCCTCTCTTCTATCCTCTCCTCTCCTTTCCTATCCTATCCTCTCCTATCCTCTATCCTCTCCTCTCCTCTCCTATCCTATCCTCTATCCTATCCTATCCTCTATCCTATCCTATCCTATCCTATCCTATCCTATCCTCTATCCTCTATCCTCTATCCTCTATCCTCTATCCTCTATCCTCTCCTCTCCTCTCCTCTCCTCTCCTCTCCTCTCCTCTCCTATATCTTCTCCTATCCTATATCCTCTCCTCTCCTCTCCTCTCCTCTCCTCTCCTATCCTATATCCTATCCTGTCCTATCCTATATCCTGTCCTGTATCCTATCCTATTCTATCCTATCCTATCCTATCCTATCCTATATCCTATCCTATCCTATCTCCTATCCTATCCTATCCTATCCTATCCTATATCCTATCCTATCCTCAGCTAGAACCCTAGGGAAGAGGAAGAAGGAGGGAAACAGTGGTAGAGGGGAAGCCAGAAAAGAAGCAAGAATCACTTCAGATCCTTGAGGCTTCACTCAGCCATTATTTTGATGTCTGTGAGAAACTATTAAAGAGTTGGATACAAAGAAGTTAGCTTGATCTGATTTTAGAAGATTGCTCTGTGGTAATGAGTGTGCTTCAAAAGCTAGTAGGAAACTATCCCTTGAAATGAGACGCTGGCAATGGGAAAGCAAGGATAAACGTGTAGAGGGTTGAAAAAAAAAAAAAAAAAAAAAATCACAATTCAAGCTGAGGTTGTAGCCCAGGGGCATAGTGGTGCCTAATGTGGACAAAGTCCCCAGTCCTATCTCAGCGCTGATATATACCACATGTATGTGGAGAGCTAGCTCAGCAGATGGGCTGTGTTCTCTGTCTGTCTTCCAGCAGTCTCTGTCTCACTCCAGCTGTTGGTCTTTCTCTGCCTCCCACCCTTCCTCCCAGACAGCCCCCAGATTTGATGTAGGCAGCAATGGCTCTGGGCCTGCCCCCGAACTCTTTAGTCCTCTGAATTCTATGTGGCTGCCTCCAGGTCAGAAGGGCTAAGTAGTGGGTTAGGGAGATAGTTCAGCAATCTTAAGTGCTTGCCTGGCATGCAAGGTCCTGGGTTTAGTCTCCAGTACTGCTTGCCACCCTGCCCCAGAACCAGGCCCGCCAAGCTGGCCACTGAAACC